TTTGATCGGCGCAAACAATAAAATAAAAATTTGAAAAAAAAAAAAACGAGAGGGACCAAAATACCTAGGCAGCTGCAGATGGGACCCAATAATAGTTACAATCCCACGCTAGTGGGGCCCCGAGCCAGAACTGGCCAAAATTGAATCCGTTGTAGAGAACAACTGAAGAGAAGGGAAGAGAGAAGTGGACAAGTTATTTGTAGTTAAGATTTTATCCCTCGAAATTTTCTCGCTCTTTGCTTTCTCTTTCTCTTTCTCTGCGTGCTTACACACATCCCCGTACAGACCAGTAATCATTATGCTCTCTCTCACACACACACAACACGCACTGGATGCAAACAATTCCACCTAGGTAGCCTTCAGCAGTGCCACCATCCCATTACTCATAATCCCCACTCCTCTCTCTCTCTCTCTCTCTCTATATATATGCAATGGACAGAGGCTTCTTGGTGGAGCTGCCCCTTCTCTGGTCTTCTTGATTTTGCTTTGCATGACCTCTCTTCTGCCTTACTGCTGATTTCCTAGCCAGCCCATCTTCTCTTTTTATCAAAAAAACAAGCTTACCAATTGTTTCTTACTTCTATTTGGGAAAAGCTTTAGTTGGTGCATGGATGGATCCTTCAGGTGCACAGCATCATCACCAGGTAGGAACTTGGAAGATTATCATATCCATTTTAGCTACCTTGCTTTTTACCCCCTTTTTTTTTTCCTCCAAGTTTTTTATTCGTTGGTTTTGGGTTTCTAGAAAAGGGAGAAAAAGTACTAAAAGAAACAAAGGAATGATGGAAATAATTTTAATCTTTCTTCTACAAGTTGTAGCCCTTGTCGTTGTTTAGTATTCTGGATTAAAGATTTCGTTTTTGTGTATCCTATCAAGCTTTTCATGGGAATAAGCCGTTTTGTTTCTCGCTTGATCTGGCTGAGCTAAAATCATTTTACAGGTTTAAATTTCAGTTAAAGAGATATTTGTGTTGTACTGATTTGTTGTAGTTCATTTCTTGACATCAAAATCTGGCCTCCAATTGATCTTAGCTTCCTGTCTTGTTCCCATTGGGACTAGTCAAGATATATCAGCTTAGCCGCTCAACCTGATCCTTTTCGGTTTTCAGACCAGAATTCCTTGTAGTACTGCTTACTGCTAGCATAGTACTATGTTCCTCATATCAAAGCAATATTCCATGCTGATTGCATCATAAACCTTGAAGGTTCCAAACTTGGTTTTGCAACATAATTAGATAGCATACTGGAATCTAGTCTTTATACACAATCCAAGTGATAAGAAGTTTCATAACCTTTTTTTGCACTTCACTGTGGTGAAGTACAACTGAATGCAGGAGTGGAGAATTGGTGTAGTTGGCATCCATAAAGTAATAATCCACAGAGTAGTAATTATAATCTTGAGATTCTACAATCTCAATTCTTTTGGTTCTTAATATATGATTCTATCTAGCACTTTTGGTTTCGTTTTTGCAATCTAATTAATGCCCTACTCAATAATTTTCAGGACATGTCTTCCCAGACTCTAGAAAGCATGCTAGTATGCACAAAAGCACAGCAAGACAAGAAGCCAAGGCCACCTGAACAAGCCCTGAAATGCCCTAGATGTGACTCCACCAACACCAAATTTTGTTATTACAACAACTACAGCCTCACTCAGCCAAGGTACTTTTGCAAGTCATGCAGGAGGTATTGGACTAAAGGTGGAACCTTGAGAAACGTTCCAGTGGGTGGAGGTTGCAGAAAGAACAAGAGATCATCATCCTCATCATCATCTTCAAAAAGGGGCCAAGATCAAGCAGTTGTTGCAACTAACACCAACCCACTTTCGTCCCTAACAAATTTGCCGTACGACTCTGATATCAGCCTTGCCATTGCTAGGCTCCAAAAGCAAACAAATGGCCATCTGGGATTTGATCACGACCATGAACTTCCTATGCTGGGAAACCCTAACAATCCCCATTGTGAAGTTCTTGGAAACCATAATGGTCATCACCATCATGTTAACAGTAGTGGTTCAGGTGCAGGGGGCTTTTTTGATGCATTTAGAGGAGGTTTTCTTGAAAATCCGAATGGCTTTCACAATTTGTACTATGGGATGAGTAATGGAAACATGGGGCATGTTGAAAATGGGGGTGGCCTTGGCCTCAATGGTAGTGAAGAAATGTCAATGGTGCCATATGAGGACATTGGTGGAGCAACCACAACTGCAACAACAGTTACAACAGTGAAGCAAGAAATCTGCAATGCAAGAGATGGTGAAAATAGGGTGCTTTGGGGATTCCCCTGGCAGATTGGTGGCGAGGGAAACATGGGATCGGATCTTGATTCAGGCAGGCAAAGCTGGAACAACGGATTTGGTTCTTCTTGGCATGGACTTCTGAATAGCCCTCTCATGTAGAGATCGTTAGGAAATCGATATGGCAAGAAAGGGGAAGGCAAAAAAAAACAAATAGATAGAGTTTTGTTCGAATATCAGACAAAAAACCTTAAATTAATTTCATGAGTTTGTGTTAAAAGACTTGATTCACCAGAATCAATGTCTTAATTCTTTTTTTTTTTTTTTTTTTGGTGGTTTTAGCACGGTAGTGTATTTCAGCTTTGCTTCTTTTATTTAGTGGAGAAATGATAGTAGTTTTTTTTTTTTTTCTTCAACAAACGAGTGGAGAAATGATAGTAGTAAATTGTTTTTAAGTAGAACCTGCAGTGGGTTGTGGGATTTGTTTGCTTATTTAAAGAAAGTGACTGACAGAAAGAAATGACATGGATGCTTCATAGTCTCTGAAACTTCTGAAGTCTATCTGAGCTGCGACGACTGCTGCTTTTAGCTTTAGCAAGGTGGAGGTGATTGTTAGAGGAATATTAAATTGGGTGCCTTGCTCTCCAGAGATTCTTCCATGATTGTTTCTTGTTTTTAGGTAGATCCGATGATTAAAATAACGGAGAGAATATTGTGCTAGAATAATTAATTGACAATGAGGTGGATAGTTGTACATCTCTTCTTCCTAAGCATTGGAATTTCAGTGAAGCATGAGCAGCAATTTCGGGATAGATTTCCCCATCTTTGCCTGACCAAATCCAGCATGAGATTTGAGCGTGAATGAATTATTCATATATAATAATAATATATGGCTATGTGTATCAGCTTCAGCAGCATTATTTGAGGATCTCAAAGCAGTGACATAGGCAGCACAGAAGGCTGTTATCTTCTGGCAACTTCACACAGTTCACGCACTTGCCAGAGGAACTTCAGCCCCACCACCACCACCAGCCACGAACGCACGCAGTTACTGTTGATCTTGCTGACATATGTATGAATATTGTCCTTCATTTGTTCTTTGCCTGCGCTTCCTGCAATATAACGAGCGGGTATGCAATATGATAACTAAGCATACTACAAGTTTAGATGGGCTTGGTGCGTGAGTGTGAGTGCATGCGACATGGGCAGAGACTAGAGAGGGAGAGAGACAAAATTGAAGATGGATTAGACATAAAAAATCGATGATAAGTAGTGACCCTCCTTTTTAAAAAAAAAAAAAAGTTCTTCAAAGGGAAATTTCAACCCTTGTAAGGGGGAAGAGACCTCACCAAAGACTCCACGTAGATTCTTAGGGACCGAATCTTCATTTTAAGAAGCCTCCGAAAGGAAGGACATCATATTACATAATTCGATTATACTACTTTATTTGACAATTTCTTAAAACAGATTGTCAATTTGTCATCAATCATAAGATAATTTTAGCATGTAGAGCCTACCGCTTTCCAAATGTAAAATTTCTGTGTGAAGCTACCTACCTTTGGTGCTTGGTGTATACCATTCTTTTTTCTTTTTTTTTTTTACATTTTCCAAAATTAAGTTATGAGGGGCTACATAATTATTCCTCACAATAATTCATTGGCAATAACTCTGAATTTTAATCTCGAATTTTGTTGTTAACGAATCCATATCTATATCTATACCATATATGAAGCGAGAGGGAGGGTTGGTGTAAACTTTATGTTCTTACTAAACTACTTTAAATGACTATACTTCCAGCTTCCAATGTATTTATGTTCTTCCTAAACTACTTTTAATGACTTTGCTTTCAACTCCCAATATATCCTTCTTCCAACTTATATGTATTTATTATTGTTATTTTTAGTAAATCTTAATTTTTCTTAGCAACCACCAATTATGGTTATGAATTATTACTAAATAATTATTTATTTATTTATATATGTTACTTTAGGGAATTTTCTACATATTTACTATTACAACATAAAACTAATTCTCTTGAAAATGACTTCAAATATACTCAAAAAAATTTAGCCCAAGCTTCTTTTTATTAGTTGTACGCACACATTCATGTGTGCCTCAAACTCCAGTGAGTAATAGTATCACCCTCGACTACATCCTTCTTCGTAATTGGATTAAGACATCACTCAATTTTACCAAGAAATTAAAGCTATAGTAACAATTTTGCAGCGGAGTTCCCTCGTCATCTAACAGTACATACTACTTGAGTAAGAACCACCACGGTTCTTCAGGCTTCAGCCGTTTGGCCGTAGGAGTTGCCCAAAACGCAGGTTCTTCCGAACCCATGCAATGCCTTTTGACGCAACCGACAGTTTCAAAGTCCAAAACTAGACCAACCTCCATGAAGCTAGATATCACTCCAGGCTTCCAGCTACAGAAGCACATATTCTGCCTCCCCTTCACTAGCACACAAGAATATTGACAATGGCAAAACCTTAACAAAGTCCTCTCCAGAAACATCAAGCTACACCCGCATCTTTCTTAGCAGAAACCAGGCAACGACTTCCTTCTCTGTAATAGTGTTAAACACCAGATTTTGGACATCGTGCATCAATGCAATCCAAAAAACATTTATTGGACATCCCAAATATTCAGCATTGGGATAAGCTAAAAGACTTAAAGATGCCATGGGTGAAGAAACAGTGGCTAATGGCCCTACATATATTTGGAAGCCAAAAAACCGATCCTTGACAAAATCAGGTACTACTTAATGGAAGTCAGAGCACAAGCAGACTTGGATTATAACATCATTTTGCTTCATAAAACAGTTCAAGATAAGTGTATGTCAGAAATGAAAAAACAAAACTCAGCTCTAAAGAAGGTAGGGGGTGGGCATAAGGATAGCGAATTACAAAGAAGAGCGATTGAGAGCCAGGAAGTAAATTCTCGTGACAAAATTCATCCAGTGTCCCTTATGACCTTGGCTTCTCCTTCTTCTCTTTGAACAGAGCTATAAGAGAAACACCAGAAACCTTTACAACTTTAAACCTGACACCAGGAATATCTCCAACAGCATGCCCCTTACGACCAAATCCAGCAATCAGCACCTCATCCTACAGCCAAAGGGACATAATTCCAAGTCAAGATAGAAAATTTTAAAAGATCAAAGTACAAATTCATCAAATTAAGGAACTTGTTCGCTTACATTCTCCTCAATATAGTTCAAACAACCATCATTAGGCACAAAGGCAGCAATCTTCTTTCCATTTTTGATAAGCTGGACACGAGCACATTTCCTAATGGCAGAGTTTGGCTGCTTAGCCTCAATTCCACTGTAAAAGTCATAATGTTATACATTAGCTAAGGTCTTAAGCAAGATTACATTTTACTTAACAGGCCTCTAGTGGAGAAGAATAGAGGGAATGAAATTCAAAAACTCGGTCTTACATTTTTTCCAGAACAATTCCTTTGGCATGTGATGATCCAGCAAATGGCTTTTTCCACTCATTACCAAGATGGGACTTCTTGTAAGATTTATCAGCCCACCTTTGGTTTCTTCTGTGGGTCTTCAGCTTGCGGCCAGCTCCCATTCCACGTGTCTTCCTGTAAAAAGACAACAGAACAAAATGACTTGAATACCAAATGGAACAAAAAACAGAGGTGATTCATCCATGGACTGAAAGCCCATTGTCCTGAGTAACACTAGAAAAAGATGACAATTAGTTAATAATAACAAATCAAAGACAAATTTTATAAGGTAGATAATTCTCCCTTTCCCCTCTAATTTACTCTCTCGACATGATCATTTAAATGAAATCCCAGATTTTCTGTCCACATGGTCTTGAAAGGGAATTCACAACCACTGAAGCTCAGTAGAACAGACTAAATAATGCTAGAAAACAAATTAGCAAATTGGGAAACCAGAACTGATACACGTGCAACAGCAAACACCTGAAATTAGATACTACAAATATAGATACCGACCATATTAATCTCTAATTTGATCTTCCCAATCCAAGCAAAGAATAGACACATTACCTCCATTAAAATGCAGATTTTACCCTTTACCCCTAAGGGGCAGAGGGGTCACTTACAATTTTACAATCCTGCATTATCAACAGATATTTCATCCATTAACAAATGCACAAATTCAAAGATTGGCTACGCAACGTCAACATGATCAATGTTAACTTTTATCATCTCCTGATCCATAGTAGTTTCATCCCCATTAGGGTTTTGGAGTACTGACACAGAGGTTTCCACATTATATTTATTCAACCGGATACAGAAGAAGCCCTCCAAATGCCAGTCAAACCTTAAAAGAACAAAAAAGTATCCAGAACAAAGGACATAACACTCTCCAACACATAATTGTACAAGCCCAGCAGACGGACCATCCTCTCAGCTTTAGATGTCATTCAGCAATAGCTCTTCCAGACATCATTATAGCAACTCCTCTTCGTAAGGATTTAAGATTAAAGAGCTGCGTACACAACATCTATGTAAAATGTTTCATCTCCACTGATCTGCAGCTCCACAAGTTGAGAGAAGCTGAGAACAGTTAATACAGTGAACATTCGATATTAGTCCATTAGCATTCAAAACAGCTCACCGCCTCTTTTTCCTTTCGGAAAGGGCTCATCTGCTTTGCCAAGATGGACATGGAATTACCCACAAAGTCATTTCAAACCAACACCCATCTTCCCTTGCTCTCCCACAATCCCTCCAACCCAAAAACTTCATCACTAACCTACTTATAATTTGTGTTCCACTATATAAAAGTACTAAAAAGCTTAGTCTTCAATCTTCTAGGCATCTCATTTTTCATGAGCAAGTACAAACTTTTTACTCTTCAAACACGAGAATGACTCGTAAAAAAGATCGTTCCAAAATTCCAAATAAATGGAAATAATGGTAAGCAATGCATCCAAGCATGCAGCACAAGCTCATTGCAGAAAACGGGAAAAAATCCGGCAAATAAATGCATAACAGTAGAGAGAAATAGAGACTGTACCCCATGGAGAAAGGTGATGCAGCTGCAACGGCGGCGGCGGCAACGGCGACAACGGCTAGCGGATTTGTTTGAGACGAAGAGAGATGCAGCTGCTGCTCTGCTACGCTATGCTTACCAGATACTGAGCAAAACCCTAGTACTTGGCGGACACCTATAAGACAGACTAAACCTTTTGCGTAATTTTAAGTTAGCTTTTCTCTTTCATAGGCCCATATCTTACGTTTTTGGGCTGGACATCTAGGCCCAAGCTTCAGTAGCATCAGTTTTTTTTTCTTTATTTCTCTGTTTCCTTTTTCTGCATGCAACTGATGCAAGGGAGAAAGGTTTTTTTTTTTAATATATATAATTTTATGAGGAAATTGACGGGAAAAAATTGTTCTTTTAACTCGTAAATGGTCAAAATAATGATCAAGTTATGTACGACCTTATTCCAAGAACTTCCAGATACTCTGATTACAGTTTATGGGATAGTGAACAAAAATAATTTGATAAACCAATATCTTGCTCAGGTTTACTGCATGGAGCAATTAATTACTGGGTAACACTAGTAGCCACTTTCCACTGCCTACATTATGGCTCTGAACTTGCCACTTTCCATCGTCTACATTATTGTTCTGAACCTCATCTGTGCGAGGGCTTCAATGTTAGCTGTGGTTTCGCAAAACCAAGAATTGATATAAAGGAGATAGACGACTGACAGACCAGGAATTCCATGGAGTCAAGAAATCGATTTTTCATCTAATTTAGGTCGTACATTAGTTCAAACAAGACTACAAAAGATGCTACTGCTTCAATTCCTAGTACTTGTTAACAAGAAACGCCCCGCAATGCTGCTATTTCTGAGGCTTCCTCCACAGGACACCAATTTTCTTGAGCATGTTTGGACTTTTCCTCTTCAGCAAATCATCATCCCCATCATCAGAATAAGGTGAAGAAATCCTCCCCGACCTCGGACTATACTTACTGTCCATCGATCCTGTTCGGTCCATGAACTTCCCGTTGTTTCCTGATGAAAGCATGGCAGCAGCTGCTTCTGCAGCCTTCCTCCACTGGTCAGACTGCACTTTGAACCTTCTCAACTCAGCTTCCATCTCTGAATTCGCAGTTTGAGCTGCCTCCAGCTGTTCAGACACTCGTGCTACCTTCCTGTTACTCTTGTCGACTTCCTCCGTCATATACCCCAGCTTCATCAGAGCCTCACGCTCTGCAGCTCTTGCAGATTCAAGTTCGTCAACAATTTCATCATTCACTTTCCCCTTGTTAATTTCCTTTTTCTTGATCTCTGTCTTCAACATTTCGTTTTCTTCGACAATGTTTTGCAGTTCTGTCTCTTTATCCATCAAATTTGCCTTCAAGTGTTCAATACTTTCCATTGCTTTCTGGATCTCCTTTTCAAGTTCATAACTAGTGCGGCTAGACAGGAAGTTCTCTAGCCTCAGATTCAGATCCTCATTCTCCTGACAAATACCCTGCAATTCAGTTTCTTTATCCATAAGATCTGCCTTCAACTCTTCAACTTCAGCTATTGTTTTCTGGAGCTCCGCTTCAAGTTCAGCCTCTTTGTCAATGGAGGAAGATTTAATTTGTTCAACCAATTTATAAGCACTTTTGATCTCTGCAGCATTTCGACTTTGCTCTTCACTGTATCGGATCTCAGATGCTTCTAGAGCAGACTTTAGTTGTTCCACTTCAGATTTAAGAGAATTTAGTTCTCCTTCATTTGAGTTCCCAAGGTTTGCTTTTTCTTCAGTCCCAAATGTGATTTCCTGATCACCTGCAGTTTGGGAACCATAACCATCTACAATTTTGGTGTCAGCTTTCAGTTCACTGACAATCCCCTCCAACAAGTTTATACGAGCCCTTGACTGCTCCAATTCTGAAGCTATTGAATCAAATGCCTCAACAGCTTTAACACCGTCAGACCTGAGGCACTCAACGGTCCTTTTCGCTGTTTCCAATTGCATCAGTGTCTCACCTACAAGTACTCGAGCCTGAGCTTCTGATTCTTTGCAGTCTTTTAGCTCATTTTTCATGTCTTCCATGACAGCAAGAGTTTCTGTCAGGTTTTGCTTCAAGCTATTAAGCTCAATTTGTGACAGTTCTGCGTGCTTCGTCCGGGCAGCCTCAGATTCAGCTACAGATTCTAGCTGGATCTTGAGTTCCTTAATCTCATTCACGGCAGATGCCAATGCAGCTGAGTCAAGTGAGTGCTGCTTCTTTATAGCCTCAAGCTGAGACTGCAATAGCGAATCCTGATCTTCAGTGATCTTCTGGGGCTGAATTAAAAGTGCTTCCTCAGAACCAGACTTCTTTAAAACTTGTTCCCGTGACTTTTCGAGCTTTAAAGACATTTCTAAGAGCTGCTTCTTTGATTCTTCAGCATCTTGCTCAGCTTGCTTCTTCCATGCTTCCGAGGAAACTAGCTGATCCTTCACTCTCTTTAGGTCATTCTGAAGTTGAGAAATCTGAAATTCCAGCTCAGCAACCCTACTTGGATGCTTCTTCTGCAACTTGCATTGAAAAACATTGAAAGTTTGAGAACATCAATCAACAAAAGGTAATGTGCCTAAAATTGATGGGATACAGTCCATGTAACAAATGTATGTTTTCATGTACAAGCTTCATATAGTTTGTAAACAGCCAAGAGAGCATAGGAAAATGAATGAAAAGAGGAGCATATCAAAAGTATAGTGCATGATTTTCCATTTTTTGCATTGCCCATGCTTTCTTATTTGTGCAAGGTCAATTAATATTTGACTTCATCCAGGAATACAACAGACTTGCCAGTTGAAGCTAATGCAGATGTTAATGATATCACAAGAGAGAAGTTTCCAACTTGCTCTGAAGAACTATTGACTTTCCAGTTCAAATCTTAGAGACGTTTTTCTCATAATCTCAGTTTGATCAGGTAGAATTTCATGGCATTTAGACAACTGCTAAACGAGCACTAGAAAGGTTGCCTTATGCTTTCCCAACACAACAATGAGGACATAAGGCTAGGAAGTGAAGGATCCCCTTAAGTGGACTGAGAAGAGTAATCCTGTAAACTATACTTCATAAATGCTATGCATGGAGACCATCATGCAAAACCGAAGGCTTAAGTACGGGAAATTCATAGCGACCACAGAAATGGAAAGCATTTGCTGATTTTCAAAAAGGCATATTTCTATAGTTGTAAGAAAATCATTATCAAAAACATAAAACCAGGCAAATCTCCGGCTCTCTTAATCTAAGAATATGACTTCACCTCAGGCACTGGGCTTCGGGGTGATTTTCTCTCAGCTACTTTACAGCTTCTATCTTTTGGTGTCCTACTTGCTCGGCAAGAAGATGTAGCAGAATCAGAATCCAGGCTAGCTGTCTTAAGTTGGCGAACAACTCGAGGAGAGAGCTTTAGGGGCACATCTGAAGAAACAGAACGAGGAGATGGCTTTGAAGCCACTTCAGAGGAAACAACACGAGGGGAGATCTTTTGAGGTGTTTCACCTGTAGCGTTCCTGAATGGTAGCCAGATAACAATAGTGAGATTAATAACTATCAGATTTACCAAATCAGGTATCTTTATATGCATGAAACCTATTCTTTTGCAGAACAGAGCAAAATAGGAGATGAAGTCTTTATAGTAACATGATATTCTTCCAGGTTGTTAAGAGTGTACGAGTTCTTAAAGAATTCTCATCTGTAACTGCTTTTAGCTTTCAGATGAGGTAGTAAATAGATGCAATTGGACATCTTCCACAGCAGTTCCTTCAACTGGCAAGTCCAAAACTAATGATATTCTCAATGGCATATGACTAGAAACTTTTCAAAAATAATTAAATGAGAAAACATGGTAGGTGAGTTATAAGATGAGAAGCAAATTGCAGCAAAAAAGAAAGTTCTAGTTGGCATCTTAGTAAATATATAGATTTTCTGTATCTAGAGGTGAATTGTCCACAACATTCATTATCTGCACCCTGAAGTTTCGTGATTTGATGAGAATTTGAAAACAGGAGCTGAACAATGGTAGTGACAAATGCAATTTTAGGTACGGAATGTAAATGTCTGATAGAGAATTGCAGCACTAATGCTCAAATACAGTTAATCCAAGGGAAATAGCAAAAGCTCATTGGATAGTTGCATGTGCAGTGCACCAAAAAGACTGCAAGATGAGTTGGAAAGAACCAAAATCAGTGTCTCATTTTTGTTGGTGCAGCTAACTTCAAAGTAGAATAGTAAATAGAAGAGATAATGCAAATTCCTTTCACTACTTAGTACATGATTACATAATTGAAAATTGAGTCCCATTATTTCAGAGTAAGAGAATAAAATCAAATGACCATACGGTTTGAAGAGGTTGTTTGGCGCCCACAAGATTAATGGCGTTTAAGGTCTCTGCTAAATTTGCAGCAAGCCAGATACAGAAACAGGACAAATTACCAATCAAAATCAACTGGCAGAGCTCAACCGGCAACTATTTGTTTGACAACGAGACTCAGCAAGCAAAAACACCATAACTTGTTAATGCAACTATCATTCAAGGGCTAAATATCCCCTGAAACTCCCAGCATACATACCCTAATAGATTTTCGGCATGTCATACAACCAGAAAGGAAGCTTACTGGTTAAAAAACAAAACAAAAACTAGCAGAAAACAATTAGAGTAAAAGCAGAGAATCAGCAGAACAAGCTGAGTTCGAAATCACTCGACAGAAGAAATTCACTTTAAACGCAGACTACTTTACGTTCAGCATCCTAAAGTTCATCCTGAGATGGAAAACAACTTGATCACATTGCAGAAACAGTTTGAGATAGCAGTTAGTTTAAGGGAGGGGGCCAAAATGAATAGAAGGGGATTAAATTTACCTTGCTTTTGGGGTCTGCATATCTTAACTACCTTCTATCCAGATAATGAAATGGTGATTTAAGTCGCTTTACCAATTTAATGCTCCCTGACCCACAACACCTGCAAGAGTACAGAAATATCACAAGCTAAGGGACAGAAAAACAAAAGAGAGAGCGAGTGAAACGGGGAGAATCCAATGTGAATAAATGCACAAGAAGAATTTAATGTTTTGATGAAGCAAAGTACAGTAATAAATTTCCCACTCATTCACCGACATCCAGAGTCCCATGAGAACCCATCAAAGACAGAAAAAAGGAAACGAGTAAATATGCCAGTCCTAAATTTACTGTTTTGGGTAAAAGAAAAGAAAATAGTGCATTTAAGGATTGCCCGCTCTATACGCACCAACCATTGATAGGATTCAAGCATGATTGATGAGCATTATTATTAACATCACGAGGAAAGCACAGCTATGGAAGAAAAAAAAAAAGGAAGGCAGGACCAGCTACTCAATTTTTTAACCACCTGATGGATTAGTCTGATTATAAGTAGCACTACTACTTACTATTGTCGAAACAGCTGCTAGACAAAGATAACAAAGTGGGCCACTGGGTAAATTAGGTACGCATTTAAGGAGACTTTTGTCTATTCAAGCCCCCATCTCCGCCGGAATCAATGGCACTTCTATATAGTCAATACAGTACAAGTAAAATAATGAAAATAAACGTACAAAATTTTTCAATGGAAGGTCTAAACTCTAATGTGGCAGAGAGACAGAAAACAACAACATTAGCCACCCCTTTTTAACTGTTTCAGAGGAAACAGAGGAAAAAGATTACCCTGGGATCAAGATTCACTCAAAACATTGCTGCAACATACAGTGGAAAGAAGAGGAGGCATTGCTGCAAGAAATAGAAGAAGAGGAGCTCGAGGAATAACACAGGCAGAAAAAGACAGATAGAAAGAAAGAGAATAAACCTGGAAAGGTTAAAGGAGAAAAAGATCGGTGAAAACTGAAAAGGGTCTAACAGGCTTTTAAAGATTCGATTTTCCATATGGAAAAGGACCCTCTAAGAAAGAAGGCATAATGGCTGTTAACACGGCACCAGTGTATATCAGGATTGAACAACAAAGCTAAGCCTCACTGTCTTCAACAGAGAAAAGTAGACAGCACCATCATTTCTTGAGGCTAAGTTCCAAAAAGAGCTCCACAAAAAATATATCATCATCACGTCTGTTTTGTACATCAAAAATTGGTATTGCTAGTACGACTACTATTATTAAGATGCAAAGACTAACAAAAACAGGAAAAAGAAAAGCTAATTAAAGCCCACCATTTGAGGTTCTCTCGGAGAGCTTGAAAGCAAATTTCTTTAGCATTTTCCAAGAGGAAAAGGAAAAGGAAAAGGAAAAAGAAAAAGATTTTTTGCGAGGTTTGGTAATCTCGAGAAGATAAAATTAGAAAAGTAACAAAAGAGACATATAATGTGCATTGTTACTTACCAAGGAAATCCCAGGAAAGGCTGGCTGGGATTTATGAGAGTTAATTCGGAGCTTTGTAACAAGAGAATAATAATATGTAAACTGAAACCTTACGAGCATTTCAGAATTCAGACCAAGTGAAAGCAAAAGACGTTGCGTAAGAAGAAAAAAAGAGGAGGAGGAGGAGGAAGAGACGTTGCGTCTGCGTTGCAGTTTGCAAAAGACTAGTAAAGAGGCTGTCGTTTCATTCGGCTCAATTTTCGAGGTAAAAACCTGCTTCACTTGGTAGTAATTGATTGACATGCAAGTGGATAGACCAGTAAATATGCTCAATGTTGGTGGACCAAATGAGCGTCTCCTCCGTTTAATGCTAGCAGTTTGCCAAAGAAAGACCAGGATATGATGTGTTAATTCCATAATTAAGACATTCAAAAGTTGACTTTTGACCTGTTCAAATCACACCAGCTCACTATATGCCTTCTATTGTACTTATTTATTTATTTTCTTCAAAAAATTTTAATGCTTAAACTACTACGTCTTAGCAGGATATTTAATTTCATCTGAGCGCAAAATCTTAAAATTAAAAATGAACAAAGTTTCGTCTTTTTGCTTAAGATTTTAATTTATACTTGGATAGATTCGATTTTTAAATATTCAATAACTTAAATCGTACCACACTATCTCACCAAGTTAGAGTGACGTAGCACAATTTGGATCGCTAAATTTTTAAAAACCCGGCCTACCCAAAATTTGGCCTAAAGATTTTATCACAACTTACGTAGCTTCTTTAAAGTCGGGTTACATGTTCGTCCAACAGTACAGCTAATGCCTCTGCGTAGATAGAGCAAAAAGATAAGAGACAAACGCCTACAAGCAAGCAGTGAAAAGGGCAAGACAGGAGACTCGAGAGGGGGCTGAGGTCAGGAAGCAGGTGGGGGGGCCATACAAAATGCGAAGACAGACAATTACAAACAGAGGATGGAGCATTTGTCGTTTTATGAGAGCGTTTAGCCGTTGAGTTGATGGCGATCTTCTGATGCCACTAAATACTTTTATTCCCAGAAAGAACTAAGAAGAAGGCTAATAGGGAGACAGCAGGCGGCGTCTCTGATTTCTTGATCTACAACTAGGGTACTTTCCTTTGATTTGTTTAACCAACCACTATGTTCATGATTTGTCTGGAATTAAATAAGTTGAAGGTTTGTTGTGTTTTTCGGTCCACGAGTGGGATCCGCTCTGCAAGATTCTTGGGTTCATAATTTTGGTTGCGTGATATGACCCTTCAACATACAGACACAGGACCGAAAGATTTTTGGCGCTGGACTTTGGAGATTCAATTGTTCAAACTGATGCATACGTGCTGAGAGATTTTGCAAACAATTATCACGTACATAGCCTATTGTAGAGGGGGGGGGGGGGAGCCATAAATAGACTGATTCTGCAAGTTATAACAAGCCTGTGGACCATTTTAAGCATGGTCCCGTATTAAATGCAAGACAATACCATTCCTGTGCGGAACCCGCTGCTCTTTTCTTTTCTTTTCTTTTCTTTTTATGGGATACAAGAAACTCTGCTGGAGTGACAGTTTCGGCGGAATGGTTAACAGCTCAATTCAAATTTTTTAACCACCAAAATCTTTCCACTTTTTCAAGCAGTAGCAATATCGAAAACAAATTGAAAATCAGCACAGTTTAGGATTTCGTTGCCTCCTTCGTGCCCGAATCTTTCCAATTACATCCAGAAATTGAAAATGGATGAATTTGAAGGTGGTGCCAACTGCCAAGCTGCTATCCCTTGTGGGCCAACATTTCTAAAATTTCATCAAGGACCCACGTGTTAGTATATAGATGAAACGATTGCCATATACTATTTGATCCACATTACACCTTTGTCCATGAGCCCAACTTTTCGAGTTGTATGCAATTGGGTAGATAGGGGCAAGAAACGTTAGAAGAAAGAGCCGAGAAATAGTAGCAAATAAGGGCCCAAACAAAACAAATCTCAAGTGCAAAACATAACATAACATCTAATGCTAAGTATCAAAAGCACGGCAGGGACGGTCATCTTGATGACTATTCTTGAGCAGTTAATGTTCAAGATTGGCCAAAAAGAAAATGTAAAGTTCAGTTCACTACGGGTCTGTTTGGTTGGAAGTAAAATGTTTTCCTTAGGAAAATATTTTCCGTGGAAGTAATTTTCCGTGGAAGTAATTTCCCTTTCATCATTTTCAGGTGTTTGGTTAGCTTATTGAAAATATTTTTTTACTTTATTTTTCTGGTATTTGTTTAACTTTTGAAATATTTTCACTTTTATCTCTATCTTAACTTTCTACACGTTATAACTACATACTTCTTCCCATGCAAAATAAGAAAATTTATCTCATTGTTTAACTTTAAAAAATCTTGGAGAAATGTATATATGAATAAAAAAATATCTCCTTAAGCAATAAATAAATTGCTGGCCATTTAGTGTCAAATATCAATCACATGCAATGCTTATTATGACATATATCTTGCACTCTCACTGCTGAAAGTTTCTCTAGAAAAAGAATGTCCCTATTATACATAATTAATTACTAGCATAGGATGAGCAGGATGAGGTTTTTTTTATTTTGAATATACTAGGGGGAGGGTTGGGTTGGGTTGGGTGGTAGGGGGAAGGGAGTGTAAGGAAGAGATCTTAGGTTCGAATCCTCCTGTTTATATTAAAAAAAAAAAAGAACATACTATAAGATGTTTTCAGTAAATTTGGAACATGCTACAGGCGGGATGCATGCATTTCGGAAAACAACTTCAGTAAGTTTGGAAGAGAAGTTGTTTTCCATAAGATGAGTGAAAATATTTTACATAGGAAAATATTTTCAGTAACTTTTGTGCAACCAAACACGGGAAATTAAGAAAATATTTTCCTGAAAAACATTTTCACCCGAAACAAACGGACCCTACATGTACATTGTTTTCACACACCATGTGCTCATAAAAAATTGTTCTGTAATTACTTTCTATTAAAAGTATGTGATATCATGAAAAAAGTGAATTACATTTTGTGAAATTGGACAAAGATCAGCACAAACGATTGACCTAACAACCGTTTGTTCGCTAAATCTGTTAAGTATCTCCAGAAAAAACCTCATTGTTTGGTGTGGTGGCTAGTTTGAGGAAGGTAGGGATCGTTTACAAGGGTAGGGAGGAAGAGTGTTTTTTTTTTTTTTTTTTTTGCCTTTCTTGTTTAGTCAAAAAAGAGATTTCAAATATTATAAAGGGAATGGGAAAAAATGATGCTTTAAAATTCAAACTAAAATTCTCACAATTATTTGATTAACATCCTTACAAACTACCTGTTTAGCAATCGTGTCGTACATGTGTTTTAGAACGACCAAGTTTTAATAAATAATCACCAACAGTAACGATAAAAAATACGTGTAAGTTTTAGGAAAAACTAAGGGTCCGTTTGGATTCCTTGTTTTTGCCTCTGTTTTTTAAAAGCTGTTTTTCACATTCCAAATGCTACAGTAAATGTGTATTCCCAAAACAACTCAAAAAACACCATATCCAAACATTATATCAAAAACAACTCCATATGTACATTTCAATTTGTATATTTCAATTATGTATATTATATATATATATATATATTATATTAATATAAATTGAAAAATACAAATTGAAAATTATATATTATATAAACATTTATATACATTAATATTATACATAATATAATATACATAATATGTAATATTGTATACATAAATGTATAAATATTTATACATTATATATTATGTACATTATATTATAATATATACATTATTAATGTATAATATTATTATGTACATTATTGTGTATAATAATGTATAATAATGTTATGTATAATATATAATATACATAATATGTAATAATGTAATAATGTATATTATGTATAATATATTATAATATGTATATTATATTATATATATACAATATTATGTATATTATACAAATTGAAAATTATATATTATATATTATATAAATATTTATATAATGAAATATACAATAAATATTACAAATTGAAATATTATATAAACACCATATTTATAATATTATAATATTTATAATTAATATTAATGTATATTATATATATTAAATATTTTTATTTTTATTTATACATATTATGAATATTTTATTTTATTTAAAAAATATTTTTATATATTTATAATTTATTTATATAAATATTATAAATGTATTATAATATTACTATAATATACATAATATATTTATTTATAAATATTTATAAATGTATTATAAATGCATAAATGTATATAAATATAAATATATAAAAATTATAAATTATAAAAATACTCAAAATATGTTTTAAAAATACCTCTAAAAATAATCCAAAAAACATCTACAGTAAAAGTTTTTCATATAGTTTTTGAAAAACAACCCCAAAAATAATTAATTCAAACGGACTTGTATTTCAAAAACGAAATGCTACAGTGTTGTTTTTGAAAAATAACCCAAAAAACAGCTAATCCAAATGGAGCCTAAAAATAAAACATTAAGTAAGGTATTGATGGCCAAGGCGGTGGCAGACATTATCGGGAGTGAGGGGTGATAGAAGGGAGTATTTAAAAATATTTTTACTAATATAACTAAATATTAAATATGTTAATATTTAAAAATATTTTTACTAATATAACTAAATATTAAATATTCTAATATTTTTACAAACATTAAATATTTATACTAATATAACTACTGTAAGATACAACAAAATTTCAGACAGATGCTCAAGGTAAGGACAAAGGAGGAAGAGACCAAGAGTGCATCGAACTGTAGGTGAATGGTACTGC